TCTCAAACCCACTATCAAATTTAGAATGTGAAATATGTATGAATCCTATGAATCCTCAGATAAATGTACTTTATTAACTCAGTTTGATTCTACGTATTGTGTTTTGTGTAGTGCAGATGTGTTTAAATCACTGTGAGTATTGGAGTGGTTCTAGTGAATTAGAATACATAGAAGAAGACGAAGACACGTAGCCCTGTAAGAAGCGAATCAGTTGAACCATCGCCTTGTGTTTGTCATAATTCCAATAATCTCACTCATTGTCCCATGCCTTTGGGGGAAGTGCGCATTAAGAGTGTCTAACTATGCTTCTAACGAATAAGAAACATTGAACAACATAGGCAAAATAACGCACTTTGTGTTTTAGAAAGTCGAATTGTTCGCCACAGGGACGTGCCCCTTCTCAGGAAGTTCACATCAATCTGTTTGCAGCTTCCTGTAATTATTCAAGCCAATTCTAGCTTTCCCCCAGGGAGGGGTGCCCTTTTGAGAACTCCAGATTCATCTTTAAGCTTATGTTATTCGCGTATTCCGAAAGGGACACGCTTCTAGCCAACTTGTTTTCCTAATTGATTCGATAAATTCTGATAGTCAGAGAGCAAAGGGAGCTATGTTTTGCTAATTGTTCTAAATATTGTACTTGTTCTAGGTATTACCAACGGGACGAGTCCCTTTGGGGGAATTCCTGTTTAATGTCTGCCTCAGTTATCCTGATGACGAGTGATTCCAGATTCATGTTTGTGCCACCTATTCTAACTCCCCAATTATTCTGAATAACGGGCGGCTACCTTATGAGGAATTGAATATTCATGTTGCTAATTACTATAACTATCATAACTATTCTATCCCTTCTTATTGTAATGATTCCCAAGGGGTCGGGTGCCTGTCGGAGAATTCCAGATTCAGCTTTGTTTTAGTTTGTTTGTTCTAGTCATGTTCCCCAACGGGGTTATTACTGTTCGACTTTCTCCACTTATTCCGAAAGGGGCGGGTGCCTGCTAGGTAGTTTCAGATGCCTCTTTGCCCTTAAAGTTGTGCTAGTTCTGCTAAGTACTCGAAAGGATGCGTTATGATTTTTGCTAATTCTTGTACGTAGCATAACAGTTCGCGTTATTCTAGTTAATCCCTAAGATGCGGAAATGCCTTGTGGATAATTCCAGGCTCGTTTTGCTCCAGGCATGGTACTTTTGTCAAAAGGGATTGTTCCGAACCACTGGAATAAATTCCAGATGAACAGCTCCCTTTTGGTGAGTACAGCGGGTGACTGTTGGGGAATTTCCGTTCCATTTCCTCAAGTCTCTATTTCTCCCAAGTATTCCCGAATGGACGGGCGCGCTTTTTGGATTTTCAGACTCAATTCTACCAGGGGACGTGTTCTAGTATATAAGAATAATATTTATCTTATTTTCTTCCCGAAGCGAGGGGTACCTTTTGGGGAATCCCATATTCATGTTTGTTCCTGAATATTTTTACGCGTTCTGAGCTTATTTTCAAGCGGCCGGGCGCCTTGTGGGGAAGTCCAGATTCGTTTTGTGCTAACCATTCTATTTCTCATTGTCATTCTTTCATTTTTTTAGCGCCTCCGTTGGGGGGTGGCGGGGTGGGGTGGTGCAGGAGGGCGCGCTGTTGGCGGCGCGCATCCTTGTTACGGACTCCCTATTTGTAAGTCCCATGCTAATCTGCAGGGAAGCAAGGGTTTGAAGAGCAAGAAAGGAACAAACACCTGCCTTCATTTGCAAACCCATGAGAATCTCATTGTGTGTGTTATTTTTTCGTGGGTCAGCCATGCTTCCTTGTGGAAGCAGAGAAAAGAAGGAACGAACCCCTGCTTTTATTTGGAGCCAAACCCATTTCATTGTGTGTGTGTGTTTTGTTTGCTGAGTCAGCAGCTGGAGTGCCATGCTTCCTGGAAAGTTCATGGAAAGTTTCTGGACAGTTCCCGCAAAGTTCATGAGAAGTTCAGGGAAAATGCACGGACAGTTCCTGGAAAGTTCCTGGAAAGCTCATGGATGTTCATGCTGGAACCTTCATGGAAACTTCATGGAAAGTTCATGGAAACTTCATGGAAAGTTCTGGACCTGGAAAAGTCATGGAAAATCATGAAAATGTCATGGAAACTTCATGGAAAGTCCTGGAAAGTTCATTCAGACTTCCTGGAAAGTTGATGGAAAGTTTGTGGAAACTTCCTGGAATGTTCCTGGAACGTAAGGACTAAGGTTTTAAGATTGTAAGCCATTCAGCTTGTCAGAGTTTAATCCATTGGGGTGTGCAGGCCACTAGAATTTAAGATTGCTAGCCATTGCAATTTTCAGACTTTCGGCCATTCAGATGTTATCACGTTAGGCCACTAAGGCTTTAAGATTGCAAGCCACTCAGATTTTTGAGTTTCATCCATTAGGAGTTTGGGCTTTCAGCAATGCATAGCTTTAGAATGTCCAGCAAGTACATTTTTAGATTTTACGAGAGTAAGGTTTTAAGCCACTAAGGTTTTAAGATTTTACTCCATGAATATTGTAAGGTTTGAAGCCGTTAGTACTTCAATATTGTAAGCCATGACTATTCTTATGTTGTCCTAACTTGTTTTGGGTTAACTAGGATGTCATGGTGCTACGTGCTGTCAACTCCCACTGCCTGCACTGTGCTCGGACCAGTCTGAACTTGTTACTCGGGGCCATTTTGGCTCAAGTCAATGACTTGATCGTGGTTCAAGCCTCGGATTTTCCTGGTTGTTTACTTTTCTCGGCTATGGAACGAGCTATGGACATGACAGTTGATGCCAAGCATGACGCCCGTCGTGAGGCACAAGCGGAAGCCGTGCAGGAGAAGCTTGTTTCTGGACTGGCGGCAATGGAAGTGGATGTGGAGGAGACAGCAACTGACCTTGATGGCCTCGGGTTAGGGACGGCTGCTTCCCAGCGCTGTATCCCTCCCTGAGGACCCAAGCCTGGATGACCTGCTCCTTGACCCGCCGGTCGATACGAACACCCCCGGGCCCCACAGAGAAACCTGAAGTTAGGACGGCTGCTTCTAGCGCTGTATCCGTTTCAGGGGACTCATGGATGATCCCAGGGATGGACGACACACGTCGAGGACAATGCCTACTGTGGGCCCACCGCAGCGGAACTGGTGGAGTGGATCCAGAAGAAGGTGGGGGAGCATGCTGTCCCTTCCGAAGTCTTCACGGCGAGGCAGAGATGAGCATTTTGGACCTCTTCCTGCAGGCGCCGGCAGTGGTCCGTTGGTATGGCTTGGAAGAGGACCCCATCAACACGCTCACGGGCCTGGAGCTCTTGGCGGAGGTGGCCTTCAGGATACGCACATGTGTGTAACGCAGGCCCATGACGCAAAGAAGGGGCTCTACCGCCTGGTGGAACCGGACCTCTTTTTTCCATGAGTGATACGGCGGCCAGGCCTGGGAGGGCGACGGTGTGAACGTTGAGGAGTACGTCAAGAACCTGGGGGGGCAGAGGATTCAGTCCGCCAAGTTGCAGAGTGCCCTGGCTAGGCAAGGCCGAGGTTTTGGACCCCTTCCAGAGAGGCGACGGAGGCTCAGCAGGCGCCCTATACATCTGTGGGACACCACGTTGCGGGGCTCGCTTTGAGAAGGACCACAGGATTCGTTGCCTACTGTGTGGAAACACAGTGCTCCCAGTCCTGGCCCAACACGCCACGCTGCAGTCCCCGAGCCCGGACGGCAAAGGATGGCAGATGGTCAACAATGTTGCTTTGGGCCTCTGACCTCTCAGCCACCAGGCACACCTCATGCTCATTGAATGACCCACAAGTGCCTGGTGTCATCTTCAGCCCGGATATGGCCAATATCCATGCCACCATGGCGAATGCGCAGGAGGAAGGTGGGACTGGCGGAACATGCTCATCTCGATCTCGGTGCTTAGCTTCTACACCTCCCTGGCCTCATGGCGCAGGAAGGAGGTGGAAGGCTCACAAATCCCCAGGCATCTCCTCAAGCACAGGGGCAAGATCGACAGAATCGCTGGACGGGTTTCCATCCTTAGCTCTGCACATTTGTCCGGGTTCCAATGGTTTTTGTGACGGCTCTTGCAAATGTACTTGCAACACACGCAAGCAAGATCCCAAAAACAACTCTGCCAAATTTGGTGCAATAGCTCTTTAAAGAACCCGGCGCAGTTCCTGCAACATCCATGAGCAAGACCCTTCGTGGGTTCGCTTTCGATGTTGCAATCCTTTTTTGCAAGTCCGGAGAGAGTTTGTTCAAAGATTTAATTTGAAACCTTGTGTTGCCCGCCTAACCCACACTTAAATCCACCCAAGCCTCAGTCCCCCTCATTTTACCCAAATTCCACCCAAACCCCAGAGTTTGTTCTGCATTGAAGCAGACTGTCCAACAAATGCACACCTTGCACAGTTTTCCTTCTGTTTCGGAAGCAGGCTCCCTCAAATCCTGTTGCTGTTTTGGAAGCAGGCATCGTCCAAAAAACAGCTTGTCTGCAGCTTGTGTATCACCATCCAAAATGGGCTTGCAACACAGGTTGTGTCTCTGGCGGATCTTGTAATGTTTATTTTGCACCTCCAAAAAGCCAGCAGCGGTTTGATGCAAAATGCTTGACGGTGCCTCTAATATGAGTCTCGGGGACTCTGGGAATGTGGGGGACTGGCCTGCAGGCTGCACGTGTTCACCTGACTGAGAATGCACTTTGGAGGGTATGGTGCCAGTGGGTTCTGGCTGGAGTCTAGGCGTGGGCAGGATCTGGGCAGCCCATTTCAACGTCCATGGCGTGAGCCGTTGCAAGTTTTCAACCCTCAAAACGTTATACCACGTGAGCAACGTCCCTCGCGGCTGTCATACTTCAGCACAAAAGGAAAAGTAGACTTGCGCCCCGGGGTGGTCGCATTTCCACAAAAGGAGAAGCCAATTCAAGTCCACCTGGGGGCGTGATGCGTGTATTCAAATTTGAACCTTGGCAAATCGTGGGGTTTGACTCAGGCAGCAGTGCCATTTCATCCTGCGTTTGGGCCCTGAGGCAATGAGTGGCAGGAGATGCAAGACAGGCGTTCCTGGCATTGCGTGCTTGGAGGTTGGCGTGTGTGTGTGTGTGTGTGTGCGTCGGAAACCGCGCCCCTCTTGGCCTTTATTCGGGATATCGGGCAGTTTCAAGAGAGGCCCAAGCGGTCCGCACGAGCTCCTACCCTTGGACTGGGCACGCCCACTGCTAGAATCATTTCCTTCAGTTTGTAGTGGTCGCACGTTGCAAGATGATCAGCGAGCAGATCAGAACAAGGGGGCTGGAGTTTGAGCAGCTGCGTGGAAGGCTGTAAAGGTCAGGCAGGCTTACAAACCTAGGTTGGACCTTCTGCGGCGGTCCAAGACATATCGAGTCACACATGGGCGTTGCTTTTCTGCTTGTGCTGTCCTTGTCTTTAGAGTTTGATGGGAAACCAAGGGAAGGCTACATGCTTTGGTTCCGCATGGCAAGACACACCCAAATTCACAATGGACAGCCACTCGGGAAGCTTCTGCCAGGCTTAGCCAGCCCGAGGAGGCGCCTTACTTTGGCATGCGAGTGGCTGGCTTGCTAGCTTGGTTTTTACGGTAATGGCGATTTCTTTAGGCACAATCCCAGACATTTTAGGTACAACCCCAAACTGCTTAGGTACAACCCCCAACTCCTTAAACACAACCCCAAAAAGCTTAAATACAGGGCAGGGGTTGTATTTAAGGAACCCCTGTCGGGTGTTTCAAAGCTGACTTTGGACGTGCTTAAAACAACACACAGACAAACACTCGAGTTTAAAGCAGCCAAAAACCAGGATTTTGGGTGGAATCGGAACAAGGGAGACCAAGGGTTTTCTTAAATACAACCCCTCCCCCCTGTATTTAATTTTTTGGTATTGTGTTTAGGGAGTTGGAGTTGTGCCTAAACAGTTTGGGCTTGTACCTAAGAAAATTGGCTCCCCCCCCCTGGCAGGGAACGTTGCCGCGCGTTTTCTTCAAGTTTCCCTTTCTCCCGCAGTCATTTTTCCAACTTTTGACTGTTCTATCTGCTTTTTTTTGCCTAAAGGGATGTGTGCCTTTGAGGGAATGCCACATTCATTGTCAGATTAGGTTAAACAACCTAAGCATTTTTCATTATTCAAAATTATTCGAAGTATTCTATCTCAGTGCTCCTAGTATTCCGAAAGAACTGTGCGCCCTTTTCGTGAATTCCAGGCTCATTTGTTTCCAAAGAGTTCAAAGTACATAACTTGCTCAAACTGAACGAACTAGATATTTGCACTATTTCGCCATAATTTGGCCCTAGACGCTTCTATCCCTTTACGTTTCCCGAATCATGTCAAACAATTCTAGTTTTTCTAACTGTTCAGTTTATTCCGAAGGGATGGGTGCCCTTTGGGAATTCCAGATTCATTGTTGCTTCCAGTTAGGAAAACAATGTTTCCTACATGTTCTAAATATTTATACTTTAGAGCCTCCGGCTCAGTCCGCCGACATTGTCCTCTCCCTTTTCTCCTTCTCCCTCTCTCCCTTGTCTCCCTGGTGTGTTCTGTCGTCCTTTCTCCCTCCCTCCGCTCCCCATCCTCCCCATCCCCCCAAGCCACTCTCTCCCCAATCTCCCTCTCTCGTATGTATGTATGTATGTATGTATGTGTGTATGTATGTATGTATGTATGTATGTATGTATGCATGTATATATGTATGTATGTAATGTATGTATGTATGTATGCATGCATGCATGTATGTATGTATGTATGTATGTATGTATGTATGTAATGTATGTATGTATGTATGTATGTATGTATGTATGTATGTATGTATGTATGTATGTATGTATGTATGTATGTATGTATGTATGTATGTATGTATGTATGTAATGTATGTATGTATGTATGTATGTATGTAATGTATGTATGTATGTATGTATGTATGTATGTATGTATGTATGTAATGTATGTATGTATGTATGTATGTATGTATGTATGTATGTATGTATGTAATGTAAATTAATGTAATGTAATGTAATGTAATGTAATGTAATGTAATGTAATGTAATGTAATGTAATGTAATGTAATGTAATGTAATGTAATGTAATGTAAAGTATGTATGTATGTAATGTAATGTAATGCAATGTAATGTAATGTAATGTAATGTAATGTAATGTAATGTAATGTAAAGTATGTATGTAATGTAATGTAATGTAATGTAATGTAATGTAATGTAATGTAATTATGTATGTATGTATGTATGTATGTATGTATGTATGTATGTATGTATGTATGTAATGTATGTATGTATGTATGTAATCCCTTGCCACTTTCCCCATTGCTCCCCATACTTACACGCAAAAACACTGTTGTTCCAGCGATTTCGCAAAGATGATGTCCAAAATCACACTGAGTTTTTCCAGATTTTCGGCAAAAGGAATGCAGGACAGCCCAAGCCAGCAAAAAGCCGGCAGGGGGGAATCGAGCCCAGGGACCCCTGTTTTGCGACACCGGGTCCCCGACGACTACGTTTTAGGTGGAGAACACGTCCATCAAAATGCCCGCGCGGTCCTTGGGGGGGGGGGGGGGTCCCCCCCCCCACCCACGTATCAGATGGGGGTGGGGTTAGGGGGGGGGGGGTTATCCTCTATTCCTCCTCTCTTAGGTGTCCGACAACCTGGCACGCAGGGGGGGGTTATTATCCTCTATCCTCTCTTAGGTGTCCGACACGCCGAGCAATGTTGGCGGATTTATCCCGAATGGCTTGCTTCTATATAGTTGCGCTAAGAATTCCCGAAGGGACGGGTGCCTATTGGGGAACTCCAGAAGCATTCTTCAAGATATTCAAGCTATTATAACTATTGCCGTTTCTCCAACTAACTGAAACAAGTACTACAATCAGCACAAAATGATGGAACATAGCTTGTCTGCCTATTGTAACTCATTGCAAGGCTAGAAGGAAAGAACAACTAGTTTTTTCAAATGATCCGTTTATTTGTTCCCAATTACTCTACTTCTTCTAGTTAATGCCAAAGGGGCGGATGCCTCATGGGGAATTCCAGGTACAGTTTGCTTAATGGCCTCAATAATTCCTATTGTTCTGATTCTTCAGCAAAAGTAGAGAAGTAAGCGAAAGGGAAGTTGAATAATCACGACCCTTGACCCCCAAAGAGGTACCCCAGAAGGGTGTGCATGCGTGTGATGTTGGAGGCCCCGTTGACTGCATGAAGTCATGTTGAACGGCAATGACCGTTTGGCTCAAGTAACCAACGCCCATCAGTAAAACAGGGGGTTAATAAGGGTCCCGGTTTCTGGTTCGCTGTGTTTCTTTCCCTGTTGAGTGGTTATCAGCCGTAACTGCTTTTGGGATTAGGCCCCCTCGTCCGGCAAGTTAGTGCACCTCGTGCATGAACCCGGCTCCGGCCTTTTCGAGCGTGGTGGGTGGACGCACCGGAGGAAGCTCTACTTTGAGGCCTTCGACTCCCTCACCCGCTGGGCAAGGCAGCAGTTCGCCATTGGAGTCGAACGTGTCGCCTGGGAGGACGCTTCGGACTTGCACCGGAGCTCCCTCCTTGCGTGGCACGCCGACTTCACGGACGGCAGCTACAGGCACCTCAGGGACGCGTACCCGGACCTGTACGACGCTGCAATTGCCCTGGGCCGCCACCGACAGCCACCAACCTGCAACCGGCACAGGCCGCAGCTCAAGGCGCGGCAGGACAGGTTGTTGCCCCAGCTCAGCCACAACAACCAAGCACCCCATCAAGTTCATCCTCCACAACAACTGCGTCCACCGTCAGGCTGCAGCTCCAAGCGCAGCGGTGACACAGGCAGCGCCCGGGCCGGGAGATCAGGCTGCAGCTCCAAGCGCAGCGGCTCCATCCAGAGCTTGAACTGAGAGCCCGTCCCGTCCCTCCTCCTATCCGCCTACAACTGCGGGTAGGGGGAGATTCACAGCTGCAGGGAGGTCATCGCGGAGGAAGAGGACGCCACCGGCGAGGCATCAGCCTTCCCTTGCACCGGCAGCGAAAGCGTCATCCCGACGCCAAAGATCCAGAACTCCCCTCAGGGCTGCAGCTCGAACCGCAGCGGGGTCGAGGGCCAGGAGCTCCAGCTCTTCGACACCTCCGGCCCGTGCATCCCTGAGCAGCCGGCCGCTGATTCTTGCGCCGGCCAACTGCGCCTACCCTACAACCAGGGTGGACAGCACAGGGATCTGGATCCTGCAGCACCGGTACGAGGGCGCCCCGACATTGGGCGCCGCATCCACCGGGACGACCCGTACGACCTGCCGGATTCCTACTGGCGTCGTCTGCCGAGAGCGGAGTCCTCATCCAGTCCTCCTAATCCTCCCCAGCGAGGTCACGGGAGGGCCGACTACTACGACCTGAGCGCATCACCACCTCCTGAAAGGTCAGCGCCTCCTGAAAGGTCAGCGCGCGCTGTTTACTTCAGGTTTGGCGGCCTTCAACCCGGACAGGGTGTACGAAGCTGAGCAGGTAAGCGTCAAACAACCTGCACCTGCCGGACGCGACTCATCCACAGCACCCGCAACAAAATCCGCTCGGGTGGTTTTTGCCAAGCGGGAGAGCAAGGTCAAGGCGCCCCCACAAAGCGTACTTGACCAGGCAGCTGCGGATCGCGCTGCGTCGAAGGCCGTACCCCCACCGCCGCTACGAGCACCACCTGCACCCCCAGCACGAGCACCTAGGGCTGCAGCTCAGCGCACAGCATCGGTTCCAAGATCGATCAGCGGGGTCACCACCACAGGTGAGATTCAAGGCTCCACCGGCGCCCAAATTGCCGGTCAAGCAGCCACCAACTGCAGCAGCGAAAGGCTCTGCCTCCGGCGACGGGGCACAGTTCGGTGCGCCTCAACCTCATCGTGGCTTGCCTGGACGTAACACCCTCGACATCTCGGTCAACCTGGAGGCGTGTTCGATCACATTTTAGGAGGTCATACCACTCGCGACCTTGAAAAAAATGTGTCCTTGACATTGCCCGTTTTCACGGCCAAATGGTTGCAGCGCTGTGTTTTCACGTTTTTCATGTTTTTTCACGGCCACTTTGCGTTTTTTTTCACGGCTTTTTCCCGCTTTTTCACGGCCAATGTGGCCCTTGTCGGATATTCACGGCCAAATCGTTTTTTCACGTCCAAATGGCTGTTCGGCCTTTGACCGCCTAAAATGCGATCAAAGGCACCCCTAGGAAGGCTGACGGGGCTCCAAAAGAGTGGCTGCTCAAGGTATTCTCCAAGTTGTACCGCAGCCACTACCCCATTGAGTTCCGCATCGTCAGCTACTGCCAGTCCCGGGACACTCGGGAGAACACCCTCCGTTTTGCCGGCCAATTCTTCAACGTGTGCAACAACGCCATTGACAGCTTGGGCACACCTCCATTTGGGGAAGTTGTCCTGACTTGGAAACGAGTTGGGCAATCCGGCAAGGCTGCAGCTTTAGCGCAGCTGGGGGCGTGTGTGATCGTGGACGACAACAACGCCGTCCTCAAGGAGTGTCGCACCGCAGGCGCCCTGGGCATCGGTGTCGGGCGACGAGACGC